GTTGTTTGATGGTCTATCAATCTTTTAAAATCCATACACGAGAAAGACAGGTATAGAATAAAAACGGATATTGCACGATTTCTCATTTTTAAGCCGCTGCCCTGTTATTGAAACACCACTGTGTACGAAAGAGTTAAATAACGCAACTTGGCAGAACACACATGTACCCTCTCAAGCTTGGTATGTTTTTTAGTTGCTCTATCAAATGCGCACTTCCCTTATTTACCCCTGCAGTTACTCAGTCCTCCGCTTGGTGTCACACAAGCAGGTTTCTCTGTACACCAAGTATCCAATGTAAATAAGACGATTTTAATACTATAATTTCTTCTACTACTACCATAAACTTGATGAATTTTGCACTTGGCACAGGTCCAATCGTTTCAATAATCTCTATAAACATTATATACGCATATTAATATGTGTAGCTACAGGTGTTTCTAAGTGAGAAAAATGTAGAAATAAAACAAGATTAGTAATAAAGCAGCAAACACAAAAATAAAGATAACAAGAATGTACACACAACAAGTGAATTACTTGTTAGTATTTGGTAATAAAGTCTATTATTAATTGTTAATCTGTCATTATCAGTGAAAACCCCTTCCGTCATCATTAATTGTTATTTTGGTTTTTGAAAACTTCTTGCTGTCAAAGGTAAATCGGGTACCTGTTGATCTTTGTGACCTGTTATATAATATTTCCAAACGGTTCATTGATATTGAAGTCTATTTCTTGAACTCTTAGCGTGCTCCATTTTGTGTCTTGGGTTGATTTCTTGGTTTCTTCAAATGTATGTGGAAATTAAACAGCACACAGGACAGCCTGTTGACAACATTTTTTGTCGTACAGTTTTCATTATTTAGGCCAGCAATGCAATTTTGAACCAAGCATGCCTGTTTTTTGTTTTGTTTTTAAGGTCGAGTATGCTAAAAGATTTTTAAAACTAGGACCACATCTTTCGGATAGTTTATCGTTAAGACCACTGAGTTAAATTAACCGTCCTACCTTACAGCTGATTTCGTTATCTATAAAACGGTAAAACAAAAAAGCCATAATTGATATTCTGTAGTGAGCGTTTGTTTGGTTTATTGAGTTTGACGAATTGATGTTTCACCGTATATAAAAGACGTTCCCTAAAGAATATTAAGCGCGATCTAAGTGTAATATTTAAGCATAATACCTTATATTAGTTAAAAAAATTAATATTATGAACAGTTGAACTAGCAATGTCTACCAGTATTGGTTTTATATCTAACTCAGTGAATGATAAAAAATGGGACCTAACGGGGTTTTATTCAGCTTTAAGTCTAGATAACAAAGAAACAAAAATCATAACTTAAGCCTAAAAAAATACTAAAATTATTTGTCACTAAGTAGTTAGCACATCAATTACCTTGTCAGCACTAAGTAGTTAGCACATCAATTACCTTGTCAGCACTAAGTAGTTAGCACATCAATTACCTTGTCAGCACTAAGTAGTTAGCACATCAATTACCTTGTCAGCACTAAGTAGTTAGCACATCAATTACCTTGTCAGCACTAGTAGTTATCACATCAATTACCTTGTACAAGTCTACTAAGTAGTTAGCACGATACTAATTACCTTGTACACGCTAGCTAG